TGCAGTGTTGATGAGGTCTACACTGTGTGTGTATGCAGTGTTGATGAGGTCTACACTGTGTGTGTATGCAGTGTTGAGTTGGTCTACACTGTCAGTGCAGTGTGTGTGTGCAGTGTGTGTGTGGTCTACACTGTGTCAGTGCAGTGTGTGTGTGGTCTACACTGTGTCAGTGCAGTGTGTGTGTGTGCAGTGTTGATGTGGTCTACACTGTCAGTGTGCAGTTTTGATGTTGTACATCAAGCATGTTGGACACTGTTCAGTTCTTTATCTGGGACCAGTGCTGTGAGTAACTGGGCCCAGCAGACTGGGGTACCTTGAATTCGTACGACTCCTCGATGATGACCTCCAGGCGGGTGTGCTCCCCCAAACTGGGGCACCCCATCTTCGCCACCTCCTCCTCCTCGACCCCCACAGCAGGGCGATTCTCGTTCGAGTCGCCTGAAAGGAAGAGGGTGAAGAGAAACAGAAGAGGGAGGGTGGATGAGAAGGAGGAGTGGAAGACAGGCAGAGAGGGAAAGGAAGAGGAGGAGGAGGAGTGAGGGAGAGTGGGAGAGATGGAGGGGAGGAGGGGAACGGGAACACCCTCACTGCTCCTCTCGGTCATTCTCACCATGTTTCTGGCCGATTTCCACCAACACCGGCTCTCCCAGCTCGATGGTGAAGGTCTTGTTCTTCTCGTACTCTTCGTCGTCGATGATCTTCACCTCGATCACCTTCCTGCCCAGAGAGGGGACAAGAACAGGAGACAGGTCACGCACGAGGGGTCCCTTCGGCAGCTTCAGGCCCATTGATCCCCAGATCTCACCCAGCATCTTCCTGAAAGAGACCAGGATGTTCATTTCCACAGCATGGCCGGCCAGTTGCTCCAGACCCCCACCAGCCTTTGTGTAAAGGCGCACTTTCCCATAGTTTCCACTTGTGCCACGGCGTGGCCTGTGTCTCACTGCGGGTTCTGAAGAAGTGAGCAGGGCTGGTTTAGGGGATTCGGAGGGGTCCTGCAGCAGTGCTGGCTGGCTTTGTGATGGTCCAAGAGAGCCCACACCTGAAGGGGTTACTGCCTGCTCTCTGCCACTGCAGCCCTAGGCATGTGGCAGCTGGATCCGTGGTTTGCTGCAGCAGTGACAGGTGCCTATTACCCTCCCCTCTCATTAGCGGCCCTAACAAGCAATTCCAGCAGGCCCCATTATTGATAGCTTTCATAAAAGATTCAGCAATAATTGACTATAAACACAGGTTCTGTCTGTTGCTGATGTCACAGAACACAGAGCCAGACCGCAAGTCTGGCAGGCCTCTTTCCCCCTGCCCTCACCACTAGCATTGACTGTCTCTCCCTCCCCCAGTCTCTCAGCTCTCACCACTAGCATTGACTGTCTCTCTCTCCCAGTGCCTCAGCTCTCACCACTAGCATTGACTGTCTCTCTCTCCCAGTGCCTCAGCTCTCACCACTAGCATTGACTGTCTCTCTCCCAGTGCCTCAGCTCTCACCACTAGCATTGACTGTCTCTCTCTCCCAGTGCC